TCCTCAAGAGGTTGAGCCTCTGATGGACTCATGTGTTGACACATATCAGCTAGATGTAGCCTTGGGATGACTTCCTTGTTGCTCTTCCAGTTCACCTCTTCTTTCCTGATGGATTGTGGTGTGGTTGTTTGTTTGCCTGTTGCTTGATGCATTAGGATAGTCTCATGTGTAGAGTATTCTAGGCTTAAGTGCATGATTGCATTGAAAGGTTGAGGTGACCCTCCCTTTGCTTGATTATTTTTATTTGTTTTCTTTGCTTGTTTGCATTAGAAGTTGAGGCTTCTTCCTTCTGCTTGGGCTGATGCATAGCATATTGACATGTCTTTATCTCAGTAGCTTGATAGCTTTGTACTCATCTGCTTAATGATTTTTGCTGGTGTTTACCTCTCACATGTTCCCTTAGGACTCTCACTCCCTTGTTTAAGTAAGTGATGATAGACTTTTAGGTTGAAACCTTTGCATGATAACATCTAGGAGTTCCCCTCTCAAACTCAACAATAGGATGAATCCATTGCATGACAATAGTAGAATGCTTGATAGTTTCCCCTGTAGAGTTCTTTCTCCTTCTCATCTCTAAAACAACAGTAAAAAATGTAATAAAGGCTAGTTGGTACAGTACGTTACGAGCCTTAAGCCACTTGGGAAATGATTGTTGAAGGGTCACTCTTCAACAGTCAGGATGTTTCGCCTGGCACCCTTAGGGTGGCATGTGACGCATTCACTCCTAAGTCATAGTCTCTAATGTAGTACGAACTACAAATATCCATAACAAAACACTTCTTTTGTAAAAGACTTAAAAACTGACATTCAAACCTCTTTTTGCCCGTGGGCCCGTAATTCAAGGAAAACCCTTTTCAGAAAAAGAGTGTCGTTAACTCTTAGTTCTACCGCAAACGGTAACGCACGAGTCTCTGACGAGCGAGTTGCATACACCAAACTGATGGAACTGTTGTTAACCCCTACTAAGGTAAAAACGGATGAATTAACCTGTGTTTCTTTAGCTCGAACTACGTTCGCTCTGATTTCTCTGACGAGAATACGTAGGCACAAGATGCGATATCTTGGGTGAGCAACCTTCCCCCTTCACCCGTAGTTAGCCGAACTACGTTGACTCTGATTTCTCGTTCCAGACGGGAATACGTAGGCACGGAGCCTGATGCTTTGCCGAGTCAATTTTTTTCTTTTGAACCAGCCTTGATAGGTAGATAGTTAAACCAACCGTCAGATAAACACAACAAGCATGGATCCCGTTGAGTACAACGGACGTGAGGGGTGCTAATACCTTCCCCTTGCATAACCGACTCCCGAACCCAGACTTGGTTGCGATGACCTTGTCTTATACCTTTTCGCTAGGTTTATTCCGATTGTTTCCTTTCCCTTCTGTGGGATAAATAATTGGTAAAAGGTGGCGACTCTTCTGTTTTGCCGGCACCTTATTTTCGCAGTAGCGAAAATAGGGAACCTCATTCCCCCGTACACCGAGCATATCCGATGGGTTGCCCGCAATTTATACACCTGGAAGTTAATGATGAAACCCTCAACATGATCCTCGACGTTAGCATAAGTGTCATAATCATCCTTAGCAAAGTGGGAGGAGATACTCAAAGGCTCCTCCCCGATCCAATCCTCGGGGGATCTCATGCGCTCCTTGCTGGCCGGCGCCATCGGAGAATCTGACTCGTTGTCAATTTCAACAGTTCCTTGGGCCCAAGCAGCCATTTACACCTGAAAAGTAGAGGAAATTGGTGAATTTGACGTTTAGAATCAAATCCACCCTTCCACCGCAGATCAAGTGAAAGGGCGAAAATGGGAGACCCTCACGAGCAGGACCTCTAACGCCTCGACAAACGGGAGCAGCCCCGCCGAAGCCCCAGAACATTGGTCCCCGATGAAGGCGTGTGAAACTCCAGAGTGGGAACTCCGTCCAAACCAGAATGCCCCCATGAGAGCCTCATAGCTCACCGGAGGGACTCATCAAAGACTATACTATATGCCCGGGGAACTCATCGTTTGTCCCCGGGGAATTCATCCAAGATTGACCAACCTTCCCGAGGTCTTCAACACTTGTCCCCGAGCCATTCATCCCAACCTTACTTTTTCTTCTAGGGGTGCCTGACATATTCACCAGAAAAACCTGCGATCTCCCCGGGACATTCATCATGTCCACCATGGGATCTTCGGAAAATAAGCAAAATAAGACGAAAAAGGTGAAAGAAGAAACAAAAAATTCAAAACTTACTTGGAATGGCTGTTCTAGACAACGGATGCGGCGGTCAGTACGTCGGCTGACGGCGAAAGTCGCTGTGCAGGGCTTGAAGAGGCGAAAGAGAAATAAAGGCGTCATCAAGAGTAAAGAGAGTGAAACATGGGAAATGGAGCAAGACCGGGCTATTTATAAGCCTAGCACGGGACTCGGAGCGCCCCTAGGCACTCAAGCACCCCTACCTCTATCCGCCCTAGCCAAGCAGTGGATGCCTGACACGTGGCACCTCTAAAAGCTCAGCAAGCCGTCCGGCTCCCCGATATGCCTCCTAGGCTCCCTGCGTATCTCCTAACATCCCCGACACGCTTCCTATCCTAGTACCATAAGCAACCTCGACTCCGTACGTCGGGGTAGATGTACTCCTCCAAAGAGGACCTCAACATTTCAACCTGCCCTTAAGCCATTGCTCTTTCACTTCGGAGCAGCGACTTAGGGGCTCCTGTTCTGGACTGGGTCAAGACCTGCCCTTATGCCGGGTAGGCTCAACCCAAGGCTATGATGATGGGGCCCAACAAGGCCTAATTTCCTACGTCGGGGAGGAGCCTCAACAAGGCTCATCCCCCGGGCAGAAGATCTCCGGACGGGGAGATCCACATGCTTTCCCCACGTTCTCCACGTGCTCCCCCATGCGGGGGACATGTCATCAGGCAACTACCCATGTTCGAAAGATATGGTCAACCCACTTTCCGAAGATCACAGGGCAGTTGATCCAGGGAGAAGACCATGTGTTGGTCTTCACCACACCACGTAAGCCCTGACAGTTACTTGTGTTGGGCTTGACAATCCAGTCCAATGCAATGTAACCGTTGGCCATGCGCTCATTTTAAATACCTTCTTTCACTAGAGGGTCAGATATTCTATTCTCCACACCTTTTCTCTGTACTTGCTCTCTCTAGTCCCGATACTTACTTAGGCATCAAAGCATTTTGCAGGTACACCCCTTTTCTCCTCCACAACTCCGGTGAAGGCATCAGATCACGACGCGTGGCAGGTCACTGACTCCTTTCTGATCAGGTGAGATCACCTGGCCTTATAAAGACGAGTGACTAAGTTACAGGGCTTTAAGATAAGATTCCAGGCTTGTTAATTGAGCATATCATAATTAAATGCACTTAGATTTTTGAAACCCATTCCACCATCATATTTTGGTATAGATAAACGATCCCATGAAAGCCAATTAATACCTTTCGCTCGTTCTTGATTATGTCCCCACCAAAAGGAATTCAACATTCTTTCGATTTCCTCACTTAACGAGGAGGGAAGAAAGAAAATACTCATAATGTATGTCAGAATAGATTGAAGAACTGATTTGATAAGAACTTCCCTTCTAGCTTGCGAAAGACTCCTGCTACTCCATGAATTGATCCTTTTCTAAATTCTGTCCTTGATAAACTTGAAAGTAGCTTTTCTGCTTCTACCAATCATGGAAGGGACACCTAAGTACTTACCGGTCCCTAGAACTTGTTGAACCCCAAGAGTGATAGCTAAATTATTCTTCAAATCTTGATTCACATTCTTACAACAATAGAATTCAGATTTTTGAAAGTTGATAGCTTGACCAGAAGCTTTTTCATATGTAGCAAGAATATTCTTCATCATATTGGCTTCATTTAAAGCTGCTCTAAAAAATAGGAAACAATCATCTGCAAATAAAATATGTGATATAATAGAAGCATTTCTGCATATTTTTGTTCCGTGTAGATCGTCTCTAGCTTCAGCTTGTTTGATTAAGGCTGATAACCTTTCTGAACAAAGAATGGATAAATACGGAGATAAAGAGTCACCTTGCCTTAGCCCTCTCTCAGAAATAATCAGGTCAACTGTATTTCTGTTCAAGATTACTGAATATTTTTTTTAATTGAAATTATAGAATGCAGTGATAATGAAGTAGAGACACAAATTTATTTTTATTTTTTTTAATTGATAACAAATTGAAATTAATAACTTGAAAAACTACATATTATATTATTTTCTTTACATGTATTTTTCTAAATAATATATTTTAATTCATGATTCAATTTTTTATTAATTAAATAATTAATATATTTAATTTATTTTTAAAGTCAAAAACATTAATTTTACTATAAATCTAAAAACAAAGTATTTTATTTATTGAAGTATATATATATATATATATATATATATATATATATATATATATATATATATATATATATATATATATATATATATATATATATATATATATATATATATATATATATATATATATATATATATATATATATATATATATAATATATATATATATATATATATATATATATATATATATATATATATATATATATATATATATATATATATATATATATATATATATATATATATATATATATATATATATATATATATATATATATATATATATATATATATATATATATATATATATATATATATATAATATATATATATATATATATATATATATATATATATATATATATATATATATATATATATATATATATATATATATATATATATATATATATATATATAGACACTAATCTAAGACATAGAGTGGTGAGTGTGCAAAGTTGTCTCTATAGATTTTGCATGAAGTGCTCCACTTCAACAACACCACGTGTATATCACTAGCTTCCACCTTCAAACACGTCCACATTTTTTACCCTCTCTCTCAAAACCAACCTCATAGAAGAGAGAGAGAGAGAGATTGATTAATTAAGCAAACACACACTTGCATAACACTATGGCCGGTGGTAGCAAATTTCTTAGCCTTCTTCACTCATCTTCAAGATCTTCTTTTCTCAAACCCTCTACACCATTTCTCTACAACACCATCAAGGTATCATCATCGTTTTGTTTATTCTCATATTTTTTAACTTTTATTTAATTGCTTAATTTTAATTTTTTTTAGCTGTATTTTCTATGCAAGTATATGAGTGATCCTAGCAGGTAATTGAATTGGAGAAATTAAATGTTGAATTTTGAGTTTCATCATGTACTTGGTTGAAATTGAAGTGTTTGTTAGGTGTTTTTAGGAAAGCTTTTTAATTAAGGAAGGATTGTTGTGCATGATCCTGTTGTGTGAAGTTGAAATTAAAAAGTTAAAAAGTGGATCAAATGATTCAAGAATCAAAACCCACCAAGAAAGTAAAGATTTTTTCATCTTCTGTTTCAAATTTGAAATCTCCACTCAAATAAATGGGTTTGTTAAAAAAAGTGATAAAAGTTTGATTATTATTTTTTTTCTAATATCTGCAAATCTACCAACTGAGTTGAATAGATTTAACTGAGAAAAATTTTTTTGATTATTAACCACATGATTTGTGAGTTTGAAATTATTTATGAATGATTAATTTAATTTTTGAATGAATTATGAAGAATTATGGGCAAGAAATAAAGGAAAAACAGAGCCATTTGATAAAAGAGAGGGCACCATCAACAGCTGAAGAATTCTTGAGAGTGGCAGAAGAAAGAGCAAATGAAACACCAAAAGTGAAAAGTCAAACAGTTGATAAAGCATTTGAAGCTGCTGAAGAAGCTACTAAGAGTAACTCAAACACTGAAAATGTTAAGAACAAGTACAAGGAGCATTAACATTAGGATCAATTCTGAAATTGTTGTTTTTTTAAGCTAGAATAAGGGATTTCCAAAAGTTTATTTGCAAGTATTATGAATTTATGAGTTTAATTAATGGCACTGTTTTTTTGTAAAATAATATGAAATTGTTGGTTTGTACTATGTTTGAACTCAATCTCCATTTTTTAAATATTGATGGGGATTTCATGAATGATTCATTAGGCTTTTATTTAATATTTATTCATTTGTTGATTGAACCTTTTTATTATTAATTTTTTAAAAAGACAATAGGACATTGTCATTGTACTAGTATGTCTTTTCTGTGTGTGTTTTCCTCTTTTAGGTTCATTTGGAAAACAAATATTTTTTTATGATATAAGAGAAAATTTAATTTTGTAGACATGGATGAAGAAAGTAAATTTTAATGTTATAGTAGTTGAGGGACCTAGAGAGGTCCCATTGCATTATTGTATATTGGTTGGTTGTGTGTTGTATTGTCACTTGTAGTTGTAAGGCATTCTTGTCCAATTAAAGCAACATAATACAATAGCGGAAATTGCGCTTTGCATTCAATGCTATATTCTTTTCATTTTGGTTGTAACTTTTCTTTTTTTAAAATATTTGAGCATTGAGACACTTTCGCCCCCTCCAAGAACTTGAGACAGTCTCGAGAGATTAGGTTAATCTCGAGGTCTCGAGATATTAGTGTCTATTGCCCGTCCAAAAAACTTGAGACAGTCCTCGAGAGGTACTATCTCGAGGTCTCGAGATATTAGTGTCTATTGCCCGTCTAAAAACTTGAGACAGTCTCGAGAGATTAGCATCTCTATTGCGCATCCAAGAACTTGAGATAGTCTCAAGAGATTAAGTTTTTGAAGTCTCAGAGGTCTCGAGATATTAGTGTCTATTGCCAGTCGATTAGGTTTTTGAAGTATATTAGTGTCTATTGCCCCGTCGATTAGGTTTTTGAAGTTTCAGAGGTCTCGAGATATTAGTGTCTATTGACCGTCCAAAAACTTGAGACAGTCTCAGAG